GAGAGTCATACTTGAAACAAAGACTAATTATAGTATTTAACTATACGATTGTTAAAGACATTAGGAATCAATCTCGATTTTAGCAATCGGGTGAGACAGGTATCGAATTTACTTGAGCGATATTACTACCTCCTGAAGACTGGAATATCTTGCACATATCCAAGCGCCTTTCACTTACCACATCATACGAATATCGTAGCAGAACTAACATTCATTACTGTAAATTACATCTGAGAAGCTCACTAATGTGCCGAGTAGTATGGCATCCACATATATCTGGAAACAAGATTGGACGAAGAGGGGGGGTGGAGAACTCTGAATTAAGCTTCTAGGTATCTTATCTTAGCAAAACTAATCTAGTATACCCAACGAAGAGAAGACCCCTGGTTTCATCCACATATCCCTCCCTCCATCATAAAACTGTAACCAATGTCCTCGGCCAGCATATACACCATTCAAAGTACGAAACTTGTGAAAGGGGGCATTGCATTGTGTGACTATGATTGCTATCAGAATTCATTAGCAAATATTGATACTGCATCCGAATATCCCATTCTTAAAACAAATGAAATTCAAGGAAAAGTGAGCAAAATCGGAAAGAAAACGTATTGAAGTAGGAGGCCTGCATATCAAATCCTGGGCATCGAAGCTGAATGGACGGGGCGAGAGCAATGGCAATGTGAGCTGGGTCCATGATGCATCAATCTCGAGAATCTTCTGATGATTCAATGGCGTAGGATCATAGATTAGGTAAGATGAGAGACACCATTTTCTGCCCCAATGCTTGCTGGAAAGACTCAAAGGTGGCAATCTGTAAAAGTAGAAGTAGTGAAAAATCCGTATTTGCGCGTCAAAGAATGATCGTAAAGCGGTTTTGTTGTAGCTAGATCGTAAAGCAAAATTACCGCAAGCAAGACCAAAGAGTGACAGATGCATGGAAGTCGCTCTGCGAAAAGTAAAAGCAAAAGCAATTCCTAGACAATAAATATTGTGGTTCTTTGTATGTCTGTAATGAAGAAGCAGTTATTGATCAAGATCCTGATTGGCAAGGCTGGGCACGTGTATATCAAAAAGCGAGAGATACAGCTCATGATAGCGAGATTGAATGACAGCGACAGAGCATAATGAGCAACCAAGATATGCTTGAGCCAGAAACCCCACTAGAAATTGACTCGAGGAGTTCTAGGAGCACTGACAGGGATGAGACTCTCGATGAACTCGTTATTCATACCAGATGCCGCCATGATTCGCTCGCGTAAGAAATAGTATTCGCCAATCTTGATCTCAATCTCGGCTTTGGTAGCACCCCAGACCATGACTTGATTTTGAAGATGAACAGTAAGGTTATGAGTGTCTTGGTAGATATCATTGATCAAACGCATATAGGTACGATCTTCGCGATTGAGTCCAAGATATGGATCAGCGGTCGTCTTGGAAGCAGGATCATCGTTGCTGATCATTGTGCGTTCAATGCGTCTGAATGGTGTCTCCAAACAAATGGAATCCACCAATCTACGGGTTTCTTCATTGGCAAATAAAGGGTTGTTGTTCAGGAATTGCTTGATGAAGTAGTGCTCCCTCATACAGCCTGCCAGACCGCTGAAAGCAATCATCTTCTCTGCCTTAAGCTCGTCTCTGTTTCTTGCCATCACTTGACTATGTTGGAAGTGTGCTTCTCCTCTGAATGTCATATCAGCCAAGCCTCGTTCGCGTTGCTCATCAGTCAGACCAGGAATGTCCCAGGTGATAGCTTTGGCAGCTGCTTTCTGTCCACTCGTCAGTTCCTGGAAGGTACATGCAGATGAAAACGAATCAGACTCACTGAATTGAAAACAGGAAGTGTTGTTGTGTCAGACCATCCACCGTCATCTTTGAAAGCATTGGGGCTGCCATATGCCTCAGCAAGAATTTTCATGTCAGTTTGGGGGTCCATGCGATTGAAGTGTTCGGGTCTTTGAAGGATGTCAACACCTGCGAAGCATCGTATTAGTCAAGTGTTGCCAGTGGTCACAGGAATGTGCAAATACTAACCAGCTGCCGAGATGAGAAGGCTGGCCGTATCAGAATTATCACCACCAAAACCAGAGTAATAACTGCCAGTATCTCTGTCAATTTGTGGTGGCAACATATCATTTCCATGTTGTGTTTTAGGTTTACGTGGCACGCGTGGTCTGTCTGTAAATTTTTCCTGATTCGGACAATGTCAGTTACTGACATTTATATTGTTGAGAGAGTCTTACTTGTGGAGCGACAATTGCTCTAGCCCATGTATCACCTTTACCCTCACTGGCTGTGCCACGAACCATCTTTGCAAATTCTTCTGGTGACATACGATTATCTCGAGGATCTCCTTCATCGTCGGAGACGTATTCGTTGAAGAAGTCATAAAATTTATCAGCCTCTTCTGGACTCATAATTCGCGCATCCTTGGCTCTAGCAATTTGGAGTTCCTCTGGTGATAGAACCGGATAGCCCTTGAATGCATGCGCCAAGTCCTTCTCGCTATCAGGATCTACCCACACTCCATTGACTTTGATATAACCAAAATTTCCCCAGACCTCTTCGCCCTTGTAGTGGTTGGTGGTTTCTCCTTCGTCGCCTTTCAAATCAAGAATAATCTCGCATCTTGGAGGCTCTTTGATTGCCAATCGATTGATGCCTTGCGCAAGGTCTTCGGGAGCTGCAGCGTTCTTGAAATCGGATTCTGATCGAGTCTTGTAATACTTGTAGCCAGATTGTAAATTACTAGAAGATAAACGTCAGGATTGTTGACAAATGATCGGGCGAATGACTTACTCCTCAAAATCTGCAGTAGGTCTGTAATCCTCAAAATCTCCAAGGGTATCTTGTGGAGGGGGAAATACAGGCCGTGTACCGACACCCTTGCCACGCATCATGTTGTATGCGAATTCTTGACTTGGCTGCATTTTGAAGGTTTTTCCCTGTGCGACCAGTTCAAGAAAATCTGTATAGTAGATTAATTATGAGGAATCTCGAGTCCATGAGACTTGACACGTACCTTTATGCTCTTCCTCAACTCTGATTCGAATATCAGACAGTCCTGATTTTTGTCAGCAAAGCGATAATTAAAATTTTGGTCTTATTCCAGGGACTTTGAGAACAAGGTCAAAACATACCAGCAGCCAAATCAATCTTTAGCGCGCCGAGACATCTGCCATCCGAATTGTTTGCTGTTTATTGGACAAATATTAGGAATTTTCGTGAGGCATAGTCTGTATACAGATTTCACTCACAAGCCAGCAAACTTTCTTGATTCTCATGGATTTGAGTTACTGAGTTGTCCAAAAGGTTTGCTATTATTGTACAGTGTTAGTATTTCTATAAGAGCATGTCCATAAAGAGCTTACACTCTGAGCCACTCCCTTTGCATCTGGTATCCTTAGGTGATTGATTCATCTTTGTCAATGTTTTTGCAAATAATAAGACAAAAAGAATATATCTCAAGTGAGAACCAAAACTTGCTGCCATATATTATTGTCAATATTTTCGCTTCGAGCAAGTGGCCCGATACCTAATTGGGAACTACACAAACATTGAAACATAATTGGTGAGCAAAAGATGAATGATTTTTGACATATTGAAGCAAATTACTTGACATCATAATTCTAACTTGGAAGTAGTAATTCCTTGTTAAAATTCTTCAAGTCTTAGCCAGCAATTGAAAAGGCAGTTGGAGGTAGTGAGTGCAAACCCTCATATGCTTTATCTTACTATGCATGCCATTTGGTATTGAAGAGCAAATGTAAGGTTCTACCTCAATTCCAACATATTGTATGAGGTTCCAGGAAACGACAACAATTCTGTCATGGAGAAAGGTGCAAGAGTAATTCATAATCTAGAAGATGATTATGACAGGACAAACTGCATCGCAATTGCGTGTATTATCTATCCATAGCACCAGTTTGATTGAGGTAACCTTTATGAAGTGTAGGCGCTGAGGATTCTAACGCATACAACATCCACGCGTTTAATGACCACCAACTCTGATAGTCATCACAAATTGTGTTGAAGATCCGGCTATGGTTCGAGTAGCGCTCTTCGAAGAAAAACAAGGGAGTCGGGCCCGCCTACTGCCATGAGCTAATTCCAAGCTTTACCGATACCAGACTCTCTATTGGTAGGGTCAGTACCAATAATATTGTGAGGTGACCTCACACTCCCATGGAGCTAAAATAACCACTTGGTGCTCTTCGCTGCAAACGCAATAGATGCTGATGGAAAGGAGTGCCAAACCTCACATGCAGGACTTCCTAAGTAAGGGCATGAAGTATGGGAAAGGAAAAACCGCCACAGAGCATCGAATTACTTCTACTGAGGCATAAGCTTTGTGAGTCTCCCATGATTTTCCTGATCAAGAGCAGGTGTAAAAGAAACGAAAAGGGTCGAAAAGGGCAGAAGACTGAGCGGCAGCTAATAGAACATTTCAGTCAAAAGGATACGCAATTCACAAGTACAACTCATATATGCTGGAGCAAAGTTTCGGTGAAGTAGACACCACTCCTTCATCTGCTGCAGTCCCTCGCGGTTCACCAAAGTTTCTGGATACTTCAACACCATTCTGACTTGCACTAATATCATCATATTTTTGCTTCCTTTGCAAGCTTCCTTCTCTTTCCACTAACTACATCATTGTCATGTGAATTTCAAAGAATTCGCTGTCAAAATCGGCATCGAACATTGTCATTGCACAAAGAGATGTCGTCTGATTACGGTTAACCTCAAAGCGCTATTGTGACAATTCAAGCTTAGTAATTTCAGCGCTTTGCCCACCAAAGTGTAGCGCATAGTCCTAGCACACCCTATCAATATCACCCCACCTCTTCATTTCCAAATCATTATCAACCCAAAAACTTTCAAGAAACGTGATATACAATTATAAGTAATACCTTTCACCTTCGACATTCATTTCACAGCTGCTACCATATTCACATAAACTCAGTCCATATCATCGCTCCATCAATCTACGCAACTTGTCCACCATGGACTCCCCATTTAGTATCTCCACCAATACTCCCTCCCGCTCCACATCTTCCACCAGGCCTAATAGCGCAAATAAGAACAATCGCGCTTCTAATCCGAAATCCAAATCTTCCAGTTACACACTTCTAAAACAAGATCAGCAAGCTAGGAATAAAGAACCCGACGATGACAACTATGATGATGAATCTTCGGATGATGATTTGACAGGAGCAAGTTATGATTTGTATGTGAATTTCATATTCTTCTTATTTTTGGAAGCACTTCTTCATGGTTTTGCTCGATCGGGAGAAAAGAGAGTTTGGGTGCAGGAGATACGGATACTACATGGAACGTAAATGATGAGTTGACTAGTCCTAACATGAAACCTGCATTTCAGATTTGGGAACGAATCGTATATTAGTGTACAAATACGAAGAGAAGCTGTAGCCGTACTCGACAACCCAGAATTATTAATGATGCACGCAGCAGCCCGCAATGATGTGCGTACTCTATCCCCAGTCGGTATCATTTCTCTAATTTCCACCTCATCTAGTCTATCCCTTCCACACGTCTATACTTTCTTCAGCGCTTGTCTGGTCGACCAGAAACCCCAGCCCAAGAAAAGGAAGCTGCGGAACATCGCCTGGCTCAACTTAAGAAATTGGCCAAAAAGCGTGATCTGGCTGAAACAAGTTCAGGCTCAACTTCCAAGGGTGAGGCTGCTGCGAGTGTGATTTTTGACTAGAGATATTTGCACCATATCAGTCGAAGCCATCATTAGTACATAAAACTGATTTCATGATTTAGGACAAACAAATTGAAATGTACGCATGGGAATTTAAATTGTTACTTCGCTTGCAGTATAGCTGATCTCGACATCAACGCGAGCCTGAATCTTGTCTGCCGGGGAGGGCTTCTCGCAAGTCAGCTTGAATGTGGTGGTAGCTGCAGAAATGGTTAGACATATCGCGAGATCAAGGAGTGAGACAGGTGTGAATTGGCCGCCTGCTATGAATGGACTTATATTTCTCGGCGTTTGGTCGCAAATTCATGGGCAACTTTGGCTCACAGGAGTGATGCCAGAAAAGATCTAGTGGAAATGTTTACTTGATGGAACGATTACTCGTGCAATATCAATTGAGCATTGCCTCTTAGACATTGCTGCTATGAAAGCCAGAGGCCCCTACGAAATATTACTTTCTGCATAACAAACAGGATTATGAACAACACTCTTTATTACTCTTGACAAGCGTCAAACGCCCTCAAACATTCGCATTGACCAAGAATCTCTTACCAGGCCTTTCTGTCTTCCGAAGCAAATTACGCATTTCGATCAAGGAGGTTATAGTCATCTCTCACCAATATGCCAAAAACAAACTTCATCATCCATACAATCATTCTTTCTTATCGTCCCCTCACATCAAACTCTCTATTGCATCCTCCCCCACTATCCATCTTCGCCCAACCATCCTACCATTCTCTCCACCCCCCAAATCAACACAACAGTCACCAGAGTCCAAATCCCTAAACCGCATCCATCTCACCGCACCCGAAAGTATACTACCAAGGTTTTACAAACACCAATGCCCCCCTCCCCCCTCCAAAATAATCCATCCGAAAAAATCTCCAACTCCCACCAATCCATCCACACCAATCTTCACTCCCACACCACTACCCTCAAGACCTGCAACAGCTTCCCAACATATCGAATATCAACCAACCAGCCACTCATTTGCCTGATCAGGGGATCTCAAATATCGCGATATCCATCACCTTGGTGAATCAGTTGAACTATCTCTCTGGTATACCATCGGTACTTCATTTAATTCACTGACCAGATTCCTAAAGACTCTGCGTATCAGAGTCCTGCTTTCCTACCACCACGTTTACTAGCGAAGTTTCTGGCTCTCCTTTCAGCTTGAATTCTATTGGATCTTTTGTTCCAGGGGCTGGATAGAGATGCACAGTTGAAGTTCTGTAGTGATCGAGAATGCCTGCTTCTACGTTGAAAATCATCATCATTGAAAATCCGGGGGACATTCCCATTCATGTGGTTCTGATATAACGTGTGCAGATCAATCAGTATGATTAACACTATTCACTATCTCTAAGAGAAATCGTACTGCAGCTTCAATCTCTGTCCCTCTATCCAATTTTATATCTCTTCAATAAAACATGCACAAAATATGAATTTCTAGGTACGTCTAAGTAGACCGAGAGCAGAACGGGAGGAAATGTTTGGACTTCATTCATTAAGTATGCACGTGTGCATTAAATTTAGAATCTATTCTATGAGGAGCCATGCGTCTATTGTATCCAACCCGATCTATAAAGCAGTCTATGTGTACGCATATCGCTATCCACCAACGCCGAAAAGGTTGTCTGTGAGAGTCTATTTCTAGGTGGGTATATGTACTGAGGAAAGTATGTAGGTTCGGTTGATGTGTATAAAGGTGCTGAAGAAAACATAGAACTTTGTCTATCTAGGGGTTTCGTGGTGTGAGTTTGTATAAATTAGGTTGATTCTTCAGCCAATATTTCGAGGGTGGGTGGGTTAGTGAGACAGGCTCATATTGAAGACCTTATGACGAGTCCCTGGATTACCGCTGCTGTACAAGTCAACGCCCAACACTGGACTAGGAAAATTTGTGGTTGTTCTTCCAGGAAGAACCTCCTGGCAAAGGTTCATTTAGACAATTGCGGCTTCGGGCTCTGCAATGCCTTTTAGAGATCGATAAATCTTCTTATGTTGTTCAAGAAAGAGGAATGTTGCGATGGTTTGGGGTCCTACAATTTCTTAATTAGCGCCCACCCCTCTTTCCTGTTCCTGATGTCTTTTTCCTTTTTGAAATAAAGTTTTGGAAGAGAGTAGCAACTGGAACTCACCCAAACGAATAAAACTCGGCACCCAACCCCTGAACATCCACCCGACACCTTCTACCTTATATACATCCGCCAAGAGTCTCGCCAATCCCTTACTTTCATGACTACTCATAATTCTTGTCTTGATAACATCCACTGGACTGCAAACTGTGGTGGCCACGAAACCGGCCATTAACGAAGCATTAAAGTGTGTCGAGAGCCCATCTTCCATTGGTGTATGCTTAATGAGTAGCTGTTTAAAGCTATCATAAGAGGCCAACTGAGAAGCAGTCATTAAGACAGCTCGCATACTGTTCGGCCATACTCCGCGGTACAAGCTTTTCCACCCTTCCTCTTTCGTCATGCGTATTAATCCATCCACGGCATTTTTATAGTTTCTTCTCTGCTCGACTGGTAATGCAGCATCATGCTGCATGCGCACATTCAAAACATCGGCTGGGTTTCCTACGATTCCACCAATGAAACCTGAAGTGGAGGCCATGGCGATAAGAATGGGGAAAGATGGAGGGTTGTTTCCTGATGTGAGATTCGTCTTGAGCTTTTCGTAGATGCCAAATCGAGTAGTACTATATGTTATTTGGCGCAGAAGGGAAGCGCTAAGTCCCGAATAAAGTCCAGCAACACCATTGTGCTTCAAGACATGCACGAATGTGCCAACCATAGTATTGGGCGCATTGCCGGATCGAGTCTGTAATCGGACCTAGTTATTGCGAAATGTTTAGCGTTGGCAAATGAAGAAGAATCGGCTTTTGCGCATTCATGCGATAGGAGTTATCCATTACCTTAACTATGACATAATTAGAACACGTTCACACATACAGTACTCCTTCCCATACCGAGAAGAGACTTCACATACCAAGATCCAATGGATGAGTAACACAAGCCGCAAAACAACTTGCACTACCTCCAAACCAAAACGGGTACTTTACAGCAGTCACTTTAACCTCCGCCTTCACTACCTCTCCCACACTTTGCTTTCCGCTCGACATTGTTCCACTTGTTCCGAATCTTTCTTCTCGACGTTCATTCCGATTCCGCAGAGGAGAACACAGGAATTGAAGAATGAGAGATGAGATTGAACGAAAGATATGCAATTGGCTCAGGAACCAACGGAAGAAAGAGATCGTAAGGAAAAGTGGATAGATAAAAAATGGTAAAGAGAAAGAAAAATGGGGGAGATTAAGGCTGATTGCTAATGTTAGGTGTAAGTCGGGATAGGAAAAAAAAGTTTTTGGCTTGCGAATATAGCTAAAGTACTAGGTAGTCGATGCAACTGGTTATCTTCACCCGTCACTGTTGATATTAATTGAAGATACCTAGGTATGTTCTGGATTTTTGTACTTCTGTATTCCAATATTTTTATATGTAATCTTCCCAATTGATATGCAGGAGATAAGAGAGAGAGGGGCATCCGAAGATTTGTATCCTATCTGATCCATAGATATTGAAGTTCCAAGATTCTCTAGATGAAAGAAGGTTCTCAGTCGTGTGCATGGACTTTTCTCAATCAGCCCTTTCGTCATATCTTCGGGTCGGGACAGGCGGCCGCTTCTTGGTAGGTTCGTCAGGGATATTCCGGAAGTTCAGCATTTCATAGCTCTTTTCCCGTGAGGAAGAAATTATTGGTCTTGAAGCTCATAAACATGAGACTTCTTTCAGCAAAGAAGACCTCATTCTCGAGGGGCAGTGAGGTCCTGAATGTCTTCATTGGGCTAAGGAATAATGCTACAAGGAGCGTGAGAGTCTGTGGACAATGTCGATATAACTCTTCTGTGGCAGGTTCGTCTATACACAACCCCTCAATTTATGAGGCGCCACTAATACATTTCAAATAGACCGTTCGTCCAAGGCTACGAATGCTTCGGATCCCATTACATCCAAAGAATATAAGAAAGACGAGTGGTACAATGTGCCACAATCGATTACCGATTCCCTCTCTCGAAGTCTACACACAACATTAGATCATCCTATTTCCATAACTCGCTCAATAATCGAATCAAGATTCCCCTCACCTACCTACAAGTACCATAATACATTCTTCCCCGTCGTATCTACGCATCAAAACTTTGATTCTTTAGGTTTCCCATCCGATCATCCTGGGCGAAGTAAGACAGATACATACTATATCAACAAGGAGACGGTATTACGAACCCACACAAGTGCGCACCAAGCAGATGTATTTCGCAGTAACCAGAGTGAAGGTTTTCTCATTAGTGCAGACGTATACCGCAGAGATGCAATCGATCGAAGCCATTATCCTATTTTCCACCAAATGGAAGGGGCAAGGATGTGGGACAGAACCAAGGTTCCCAATGGAGATATCCCAGCCGCTGTTTGGAAAGACATCGATGCCCTTCCTAAGCATGATATGAAAGTAGAAGATCCAAACCCACCTTTTCACGCGGAGAGAAATCCATTACAAGGAGAGCATACCGAAGCGGAGGCTGAAGCAATTGCGGCACATCTTAAAAAGAGCTTGGAGTTGATGGTGGTAGAGATATTTTCTCGCGCAAAGCAAGCAGCAATAAAGGCAGATCCCAATTTCATCGATGAGCCACTAAGAGTCAGGTGGATAGAAGCTTATTTCCCGTTCACAAGTCCATCTTGGGAGCTAGAAATCTTTTGGCAAGGGGATTGGTTAGAAGTGCTTGGTTGTGGTGTTGTTAAACAGGATATCATGCAGAATGCAGGTGTGCCGGATCAATTAGGATGGGCGTTCGGTATAGGTTTGGAAAGAATCGCCATGTTACTTTTTGAAATTCCAGATATCAGACTGTTTTGGTCCAAAGATGAGAGGTTCTTAAGTCAGTTCAAAGGAGTTTCGGAGAACCTAGAGAATTTAAGGAGATATATTCCATTCTCGAAACATCCCGCATGCTACAAAGATGTTTCCTTTTGGTTACGATCATCCTCTTCGGCAGGAGGTAGTAATGCAGCCAATGCGCATGATTTCCATGAGAATGATTTCATGGAGATAGTTAGGGATATAGGAGGAGACAGAGTGGAGGATGTCAAAAAGGTAGATGAATTTACACATCCAAAGACCGGCCGCAAGAGCATGTGCTATAGGATTAATTATAGGAGTTTGTTGAGAACTCTAACCAACGAAGAGACCAATAAAATGCATGAAGAGGTCAAAAAGGAATTGGCTGGGAAGCTAGGTGTAGAGTTAAGATGACCGATGATAGAGATGGAGATGGAAGCCTAAAACATATATCGCTGTTCCTTGTATAATAAGTCTATTACGATACCCCCAAAGAAACATGCTCAAAATCTGCATTTAGCACATAGACTCGAGCAATCAATGAAGTTCATGCTTCAATCTTTATATATCTGAAGTTTGTCCGTTGGGATAGCACTGTACATACTCCAGGAGCTTTGGTATGTTACCTTACCTTTTCCAGTAAGTGCAAAACTTGAGGCTCGTCAGGAATAGCTCGATACCAACTAAAGCGCACCGGGACCTTCCAAATAACCCAAGTGCTCACCGGGCGTAATTTCTACTTTTTGTGAAGGCCAGAGCTCTGATACGCAAGCTTCATCCCCCGCATACGTCATTATTATTATTATTGATCTGCATCAATTAATCGACCAGCTAGCAAACAAGCAAATACAGAATAACTACAACATCTATAAACTTGATTCAATTCAATTCAATTCAATTTAGTTTGTCGAAAGAGAGATCCAAGAATTTATTCGTTCACAACGAGAAATAAAAATCTGTTGAATCAGAGGATAATAAGCAAGTAAACGATTAAAATGACGGAAGCTACGCATACAAAATTGATGGATACGGAGAGGGGAGGAGAGAATACACAGTAAGTTTTTTTCTCTCTCCATATCTTGACTTTGAAGTGGAAGTGAGCTATTGAGGAATATTATGAAGTGATGATATGATATGATATGATATACTGACGAAATGGATATAGATATGAATCCCAGAATACATTTACGCAGTCGCCTGCTAAAGATCAGGGTACCTTTGGAGGTAGATATTTGCTTTTCATCTCCCCTTTGTCAAATTCTCATGTGCACCTCTTATGCTCCTCGTTCTCTCACCCAATTTTCAGATCTCACAGTACCTAACTCTGAGGAACAGACTCGACAGGACCCACTGAAGCCACCCTTCAAAAAGCCGCAGAACATAAAGCGCGTGGCGAGCGAACGGCGGAGAATATTAGGTATGGAGAGGCGATTAGTGAGCATGGGTTTGGAGGGGAGACGGTGGGGAATAGTATGGGAGTTGGGGACGGAGAGAATAAGGAGGAGACGGAGGAGACGAGGAGAAAGATGGGTTATGGAGGGGGGAATGAGGTTGGTGGTTGATGGAGAGAGTGTGTGATGTGGAAGAGAAGGGAGAGTGGAGAGGGGAGAGTGGAAGGGAAGATATTTACTAGAACTATGGAGATTTCGTTTCAAGTTTTATGGTGTTTGGTTGGAATTAGATGAGAATAGAAATCTATGATTTATGTTATATACGTGCACTGAATTCATCTCGTAAGGATATCCCAAAGTACTTATTACCTTAAACCGCGTTATAGGCTCGTAACGCCTGCACCTAAACAATTTGAGTCAGCTAGGTTGCAGTCATATGAGCTAGTTTGGTGGTAAGATGAAGCCTCTTAACTTAAAAGCAACTATTCAGCATTCCAGAAATCACAGCTTCAAGTCGATAGGTACTGATTGTTCGATTCTTATGCATAATGATCCTCCACCCGACAATCCAAATTTACGATTCGGTTCATATACGTCTTCTCACGAAGGCAGCTCCGGATATATTCAGTCTCCCTTCAAAACTCGGTTCGAAATTCAACCGTACCGTTATTTATCAGTTGCATCGCCAAGGAATGTACAATCCCTTGTAACTTTTTGCCACAAGGTCCATGGATATTGTAGAGGAGTTCTAATCAATTATCATGATGGGGATCAGCAGGTTCTTGGCCAGTGCCGTGACGACTTGATTCGGGAGCATATGACAGTTGCAAACTACACCCCCCCGAAAGCTTTATAAGTGAAGAAAAAGCTATCGATTGAGAAGTTTTCCAATGTTGAATAGGTAGGTACGGGTAGGCTGCAGGAAGGTAGCTGAAATGAATCCAGAAGTTCGGAGCGGATGAACTTGCAACAACAAACAACAAGATGCCATCTCCCGTATGTGTAGCTTGTCCAACATAATCGCAGTCTTTTCCACCAAAAACCCAACATGAGTACACAGCAACAATTGCAAGCTACACCACCCGAAAGCTTTACAAGTTCGCCACCCACGCCTCCTCAGACTGAGGAGAAGACTTTGACATCTATCTTACAAATTCTTGCAGAGGTCAGACGGCACAAGGACGGACGTAATCTGCTTGCTGGTAAATGCCGGCTTTGATTTCCGTTAGAAGTAGATTATTACGGAGATCTTCAGCGCCAACTTCAAAAAGCTAACATCTGGGATTATTACAAACACAAACTTCGGTATATCTCCCAGGCGCCTACATTCCACTATCTAGCTAATGTGATGATAGACAAGATTACTTTCCATTAGACATAATATGCGTTCTTCGAATGCTCAGTCCATTGCACGAAAGTTTTCAATAGTATATAACACATGAGCTCCTACTCCAGTTATGCATAATTGCTTAGAGCGGTAGTCCTTCAGCAATCTTTGCAGGAAACATGGAAAACAGCACCTCTGCAGATGTAGTCTCTAAGGATGCTGAATATGGTTCATATCAGCCAGACGCCTCGTTCCAACATTTTGACGCACAGTATCCAGGCGTTATCCTTGAGTTGTCCTACTCGCAAAAGAAGAAGGATCTGTCACGTTTAGCAGATGCATATATTCTTGGGTCAGATGCCTATATTTGTGTCGTAATTAACATAGATGTTGAGTACAAAGGAAGTAAAAATGCATCCATTTCAATCTAGCGTCCACATGTTGGAGTCGATGCTATAGGAGAGAAAGAATTGTCTATTATGCAGACAGTTACAGACCAGGTATGCTCGCAAACGCTTGGAAAAGCAATATCTTGTCTAATACCCTTAGCTCTTCCGCGATGAAGAAGGAAGGCTTGTTCTCAATTCGCAAGCCAGCATACAACTGCAACTCCAGGATTTTGCTACTGGAGCATTTGCTGAGAAATTAACTGATCTTACCCAAAGCATACACATCCTGGCAGAAACTTTCTTCTCGTTCTTCCAGCGTGCTGAGACTAAAGCAAGAAGAATGAAGCTAGGGGAAGGACTAGTCAGGAGCTCCACACCTTGGGTGAAAAAACGGCGCAGAGACAGTACACCACCAGAGCAGCTTGATTCAGACAGGGAAAGCAGATTCAACAAGCAGGAGCAGAAGACAGCAAAGAAGGCTATGATGGATAATATTTCTTACAAGACCAGCTCTTCGGAGGCAGAACTAGAATGATGCATACTCTGTCTTTTCCATGAATATTTTTGAAGAGATACATTTGTCTATGGATCTCGTTGACTCAAGTGCTGATCCGGTATTAGACACTCAGGAGAGTCAAGTCTTCGTATCTTTGCGACATACCAAAACAATCAGCTCCCGGCAAAGGGAAGATAACGGTCATTAAACTTCAGTACCCCACGAAACAATATGACCGAGAGTGATGCGTCTCGAATTCAATCGTCCCAAGTATGCCCTATCAATTCCCATCTTGATGTTTTGGTGGTATACTAATTTTCTTCAGGCTAAGAATGGTGGCGATATGTCCTCTGCTGGCTTTGCCGCACGTTTTCAGGCTGCTGGCGATCATTTCCATGATACCAGTGAATCCAAGGCTGCGGCCTCTTACCTAGCCTCTAGCTTTAGAGGTACCAGCGTCCTGCGGTATCTGAATTCTCGGAAGCAGTTGTTATTAATTTTGGGATGAATGTTGCTGCAGCAGAGTTTGCAAATCAACAATACATATGGGAGCACTCAAAGAGTAACAAGGCTTTTCGCGTTCCACAGCCGATCAGATATTTTCAAGACAAATCTTTGGGGCCACATCTGTGCATCGGCTATCTTGTTATGGAGTTTATCCATGGCACAAATCTGTCGTCATATCTTGAGTCTACGGGTACACATGATCAAGAAGAAGTTGTCAATAGGCTTCTACGGGTACTTGATCATTTGGAAAGTTTACCTCCGCCTAATGGGCACACTCTTGGCCCAGTAGGTGGTGGCCCCTTACGTGGCTACTTGTGGTCGGATGATGGCGTTAATATTATCTGCAACTTTGTCCTTGAGCTACAAGACTTTCTCAACACTATTATCAGAGATTACACTACAAAGAGAGACAGGTTTGATTCCACATATACTAATCTAAGTATGAGCCATGGGGATCTAGCTCCAAGAAACATCTTAGTGCTAGAGGATGGACGGCTTGCCCTCCTAGATTGGGCTAACGCAGGCTTTTATCCGCTGATATTCGAAATCTACGCCTTTAGAACCCGAGTCAATTGAGAACCTATTTTCAAAAGTCTTCTATCACAACTACCCCAAGAAGCAAAATACGAGAGACAAATTGAGCTTTTAGCATCAATTGAAGGCTTCCTTCTTTTTCACGGCGATTTTATCAATCGGTTAGGTTCTCTTATCCAGATACTTGTAATAGCACTTCTAACTTAAAATAGTAAACTTGGGGGTTATGTCAACCATACCATTGTTGACGGCAAACAAAGTTAGCTTCCAACATCTTTGGAATAGTACTGAGCTAATACAGTTTTATAGAATCAGCGCCGCCACCAATGGGTCCACCCTCTTTAACATTCGATACACAGAACTGACTTCTCTGTTGAGACATTTGTTACAAGGATTAGTATGTTGGAAAAGCAGCTGGTTACTTCAGAGGTGACTAACAGTAACACATTGAGGTGCCGATGTTTAAACCCCGTTCTATGATTTCCTAGAGTTTAGCAGGGTTCGTGGCATCACAGCTGATGTTGGTATCAACATAAGCTATCGGAGCCGTCGACTGATCAACCGACGATTTAGGAAAGAGATCTTGGGTTTCACGATAAATTTCAAATTAGGGTTTATATGGAGTTTAGAATATAAGCATAAGTCAACGTCTATCAAAAGAAAGACACACAGCTTTGCCTCAACCTCCAAAGACTCTTTACGATGTGCCCTGGTGCGCCTCGAATGAGCGAGGTCTTTGGAGACTTGGCTAGGAACGTTGTTAGGATCAGAGATGACTATTAAGAGTGGACACAGGTCGTGGCGAAAGGTTTGGTGATGCGGTTTTGCAAGAGGGTCGTCTCGGCGGTTTGCTGCTATTGTAGCAATAGCTAGACAAGGAATATGGGTACGAGTGTTCGCACGATGCTAGAGGTTTTTCCAATTCTCATCATCACTCCCGTACCCGTCTTCATCGCCTTTATCATCTTCATCCGTACAATTGCCAGCTGCCCGTTCGAAGAACAACGGATTTTACATAAGTAATATGAGGAAACAACGGGAATGTAGTTTGGGTGATAGACCAGTGGTTTTGACTTAGAACCGCCCCTGGAGCTACAGGACCCATCGTATGGACAACGAGCCGGAAGTGCTTGACGTAAAGGTTCGTAATATCTTGTGGGACATCAGCCACCAGGTATTTTGCTGTAGAAGACATGCGGCAGATTGAATTGTAGCTCGGCTGTGATATTTGCATGAGACGATATGTTCATTGCTCTGTGATAATTAGCTTGGAATATGTTATGAAGCGGTTGTTTTACAGGAGCGTGAACCCGTCTTGATAGAAAGAGGTACTCTTATATAGATCTGTTTGGCGACAGTGATCTTATTGCCGACGGGTAGAAAACCTATTATCTTCACCAGCCCAACAGGCGTATACACGAACGGTAACGAACAAATCTCTACAAGTGTATATACTCTAGATACTACGATGGTGCGATGCTGATCAATCAAATGGAAGGACGATAAGACCGACGTAGTTCAAATCCTACGATTCAAATTCTACGAGAGGCAAGGCAGTGTGTAAGTCAGCTCGCTGGTAACATTACTTGTTGCTTCAAATCACCAACTTTATCGTATCTGGAGAAAGATAGCATGAAGTTATGTTGTATTGGATGTGGGGTTTCAACAGTTGGTGGAGGGAAGTGTAGACGATGTTGCAGTAGCATTGTGAGGATTGGTTGGATAGAGTAATTGCTAATCCTTGAGAATGAATCGTATATATAACAACGCTCTGTAACGGATGAACTGTAGATATAGTGTAGTAGTACTCTTCAAAGCTTTCTTGAGGTTCTTCTGCATAGATAAAACACACAGTGACTACCCTCGACTCACCTATAACCATGCTAGACGTTGCTGAACAATGGGAGGCATTCGTCAATTACTTACTACCTCTATTGCCTCTAAACACGCGATATCGATTCTTTCTTACCTTTCTCTTTTCGTCACCTGGAAGTCAGGACGCAACACATTACAGTTATCATGGCTATATCTGCCATCATATACTTGGTTTTATTTCTCTATCCACCATACTTTGACGTCGCAGCAGCCAGCAATGATCCAATATGAACTTCTTATAAGTCATCTTTCAAAGACTGTAAGTCTTGGCTCTTGTCAAGTTACAGCCGCTGTGAGAACAGTAGAAAAGCCAGCGCTTAAAGGATCGATCAATACAACAACAGAAGCATATATAAATTATAGGATAGCAGAGGGTACACAGTGGTACTAGAAAGGCACACGACTTTTTCAAGTAGGACCTGAAGAGAAGGATTCTCGCCCGCCACGGAGCCACCTGGAAATCAAGTGCTATGGATTGTGGGCGCACAAAGGGATACACAGGTTGTTTTCCGACGCTGAGTTTTATACCACTGATGTCCTCACAAAGAGATAACCATCTTCGTACCACAAAATTCATACATTCGTAATTTTTCAGGACATTGGAAATCACTCCGCCAGCAAGCATTCCGGCCTTTTGACTCAGTGATAATGGATAGATCTCTTCTGGATGCCAGTATCCAGGATATGAAGAAGTTCCTTAGCAAGGAAGAGCGATATGACTACATTGAGAGAGGACGAAGGTATAAATGTGTATACCTCCTTCATGGATTTCCAGGCTGTGGGAAAACGCCATTCATTGAACTTATAGCAAGTATCTTTCAAGTTGGCTTATATTCTCTTGATATGAGTAACGAGACCTCCGTACAAATGAGGGACTTATTATCTGCCATCCCCAAGCGTTCGCTATTTGTTATCGAGGACCTTCGAACAAGTACTTTCCAGAAATCTGAAGAAGAGGACCCAGAGTCACATGAAAAATTAACAAAGGGGGTGCCGGTAGCAAGCTTCTTGAATATGCTGGATGGTTTCGTAGCCCCTGAAGAAATCATTACAATCACAACAACAACTTGTCTTAAAGACCTCGAGAAATATTGTAAAGATCTTCTACGACCTGGTCGAATTGATAGGAAGATAAAGCTGGGATATATTGCATCTAGTGGGGCCGCAATGATGTTTGAGAATTTTACTAGGTCAAAGGATCTGGATATGGCAGAGAGGTTCGGAAGGGAAATTCCTAAGGACAGTATTACTCCAGCTGATCTTCAGGAGTACCTTACGCCAATGGTAAACAATCCCAACCTGGCAATTGAAGGAATTTCGGACTGGGGATCTAGTAGAGAGGTATCTGCTAAGGAAAAAATCCCGGGAAGTAACTTCGTGAATCAAGGGGGGAAGAGGAAGAAGAAGCGAAATAAAAGACAAAGAACTTTGGGTATGAAGACTCTCTGCTTAAAATTGTACTATTTTCACCACAGCATTACAATAGAAGAAAGTCTAAAGGAAGCGTTCCAGCCGTAGTTCGTGACGTTGATTACCAACACCCAAAAGAACGGCCTCGCTGTAAGAATGCAACACTCAAAACTAGGCAGTCTTTCCGTGTATACATGGGATTGAATTTCTGCTTTGTATTGCCGATGTCCCGTACTATGAATTCTATTAACTACACACATCCAATGCAAATCTTAGCATATCCGTATGTACGAGACGTCTTCCATATAGGCTTCTTTAGTTCAGCTTTTACTTCAGCTACAAACTTCATCCAGAATTCATTTGCTGCTCTACTTGTTACATACAGTTCATTGTCCTCTAGAACATCTGGTTCAGATCTCTTTATTCTACAGTAATGGATGAAGAAGACGATCGTAATGTAGAGTCAATCAAAATCAGTTGTTCAGACAAGATTATCAAATTCTACCAAGAGTGATTATTTCGAATGAGTCCGCTTTATAGTATAATCTTGGTAAGAATACACTGGAAGTAGTAATGATTATCTAAAGGGGATTAATTTATTTAATAAAAAACAGATCTAGAATAAAAATAAAAATAAAGTATTTTATAGATTATTAATTTCAATTTATTATTAATATATCTTGAATAAAAATAACTTACTTTTATTTCAATATACATATTAAAGAAAATTATTTTAAAACTCTTTTCAAATATATATTAGTTGGTTTATTATATTTGTTTACTACTATTCTATAATTCATATTCTTAAAAATTCTTTTCTGAAATTTAATTATATATAAATTAAAATATAGTATAGGAGAATTCATATCAATGTTCAATGATTATTCGTTTAATAATCTATAGATCTAGTTCTAAAATAAGATTTTTATTTTATTCATAATGAGTATTTATTAAATATAATTATAATATTCTAATAAATATCCACTTATAGTCACCGTGTACTACTACTAGCCACTTATCAAAATCACATCAAAATTCATTAAAACTTATAGAATATATTTCTAATTTTTAAACTATAAAACTAATAGTTTATATAAATAATTATAAAGTTAGATTAAAAATCAAATGAAATTTATTAAAATTTATTTAATTAATTTTTAAAAAATTTCTATATTAAAGAATGATAAGTTAAAACGAAAAGAAAAAAGGAATCTTTAAAGTATTAAAATTTGTCAATAAAATAAGCGAAAATCATAAACTTTTATAAATATATTTTTAAAAAATTTAATTAACGATTTAGAAAAATTTAAAGAGTATTAAAAATATGATTTTATTAAAGATTGATATCGAAATAATATATAACGTAGTTTATTAGTACATATACTATATTAATGTGTGCACTACTTTTACCTCAATTTATACTCTTCAATTTCAATATATAATTTATCAATCATTTATTATACAATCGAATAATAAAGAAGGGAAAATACTTTTAACTATTAAAACTATCAAAAAAGATAAAAAACTCTCGATTCAAAAGATTGTTAAATTATATAATATTATATATCCAATATTTATTTAAAGAATGAATAGAATAACTTTTGTAATTAAATTTCAATTATAAAATCTAAAACTTATTAAAGTAAAAGAGTAAATGATTATTTTATATATTCTTAATATGGATTTGAGAGGTTTTCTTTTTAAATTTAAAAGAATGAAAGATATAACAAATTATATTCTTAAATTAAAAAAAGGAAAAGTTATTGAAAAGTTTTAGACATATCAATTTATAAAACGATATAAAGAATTAAAGATATATTTTAGTTATGTTTATAATTTTCAAAAAGTTCTTTGTAAAAATCCTAAGCTTTTTAAAGAATGGTTTTGATTAATTATAAATATATAAATGAAATATAGTATTTTGAATAGAAATTTCTATAATTTCAATAAAACAAGCTTTATAATAGGAATTATATGTATAGTAATGATTATTATTAATGTTGAGAGATGTAATAGAAGTAAATCAGTATAGTTAGGTAATCAAGTATGGGCTATAGTAATAATATATGAAAATAAAAAGGGTAAAACTATTCTCTTATTTCTAGTAATTTAAGAATAGATTTATCTTTCTAATTGATATATTAAAACCAATCTTCCTGTAGACTAGACTATTAAATCTACATTTAATAAATAAATAAATAATGAGATAGGTTTAGAATAATTGAAATATTTCGATAAGTATACTAAGAATTAAAGAAAAAGCAAATATTGAATATTAGTATTAGATAAGTATGAAAACTACAAATTAATAGCTTTTCAAGTATACTATAAAGAAAATAATATTATATATTTACGTTTATTATTATATTCAAGTTATTTAATTTAATCATTTAATATTAACTGTTTTAGTAATCTAAAATGTTTATATAATAATTAAATTAATAAATTTATTAAAATATATATCAATTATATTTCGAAGATTAAATTCTTTATAGCTTTTAAAACTATATACCGTAACGTATGGGGAACTCGGACATATGGGGAACTCGGACACTTTTTCAATTATTCTACACGCGATCTTGTTCTACGAGCCACACAATCCTCCAATTCCAATTCCGAATCACTTGAACTATTCTCTAGCTCTTCTTCTTCAATCTCTTCTTCTGATTCTTCAATTGGGCGTTTGCGTGGCCGTCCTCGTGGCTTTTTCTCCTTCGGTTTTTCCTCCGCCTCACGTACCATTTTCAATACTTCCTTAGTACTAAAGACAAATTGACCTTGTAATTTGACTCTTTTGCCTTTAGTTCTTTTCTTTCGAGTCTCAATTACCTCCTGAGCATCAGAGAGCTGTTTCCGAAGTAGGGCTATCTCAGCATTTTGAGATTCTACAAGCCTAGTCATTCTCTTGGCATATCGACGAGTTGGCGATGCAGGAGAACCACTGCTTGCTAGAGCTGTATTAAAGATCTGATTTGCTTGCCTTAGTTCTGTTCCATCTGGAGGAGAACTCCTGAGTATAGACAAGTCTAGGTCTTGATTGGGGGTTCTCATTTGTGGAGTAGAAGGTTGCTGGGAGGAGTTAAATGGTAATGAATCGAGTACTTTTCGTGGGGCAAAAGGTACTAAACCAGCTCCTCTCCAGCCAGCTTTAATATTAGAAGAATTCAATGCTTTTTTTCTAATATTTTGAAAGAGTTCTACCCATTCAGCTCTTTGGATTCGCTTTACACCAGCTCGAGAATATCGATCGACCTCTAAAGCATGATATCGTTTCATTGGCCCATACACCGCAATATCAAGTGGCTGAAGCAAGTGAGAGCAATGAGGAGGTAATATAAGTAAATCAATATCATTATCTATACAGAAAGCAATAAAGCTACCTGTAATATGGCTTGAATGGCCATCCATGATCAAAAGTCGAGGTCGGTCACCTGACACTTTCTTGGATTCTGGTTCGAAAACCCTTTTTAACCATTCTAATCCATGGCTATTTGAGGTCCATCCATTTGTACTAGTAGAGAACTGCCAGCTTTGAGGTGTGTCCTTTGGAATCCATGCAGAATTCGTATTCTGAGCCTTGAAAATGACCATAGGTGATAGAGCATTTCCAGCTGCATTGACACATTCAAATGCAGTTATCCATTCTTGCTTGCCAGCTGTAACTTTCCAATTCGATTTCTGAGTAGAATCGACTATAATGCGCGTACTTTGAGTACTTCCAACTCCAAATCCGGTTTCATCCATATTATACATATCATCTAATTCATACTTTCGCTCAATGAGACGCGTGCGAAACGCGTCAAACCAAGCCTGAATATTCTCCGGAGTTGCTTCTTTAGCCCGATTAGACTCTAATTGACGTGAATAGCATGTTTTAAGTTCTGGATGTCGTTTTTGGAATCTATAGATCCATTCGTGGCCTATAGGTGGAATTTCTGTCGAGGTAGGATTTCGAGATGACGCGACCCGAACGCGTCGAAGACGAATTTCGTCGGCCATTTCCTTCACCAACATAGGTGTAGCAGGGAATCCAGTGATGGTAAGTCGTGAAATCCATCGTACAAGAGTATTTTCTTCTGCGTTTGAAAGAATTTGAGCCATTTCGTGGGTTTGGGAACGTGTTTTCTTCCCAGCCAGCCTATCAGCTAGGGTAGACTTAGGGACTTCAAAATGCTCTGCAGCCTTTCTAATTGATTTAAATTCTTTCAATTGAAGTGAAATTATAGCCTTTTGAAGCTTCTCTTCAATTTGAGCAGATGTAGAAGGTGATTGGGTATGCATAATAAAAGTTATTGCGGTTTCAAGTTGGTGATGGGCTAAAAGTGTCCGAGTTCCCCATATGTCCGAGTTCCCCATACGTTACGTTACAAGAAATCAATTATCTTTTAGAATATAAAATCAAAATTCTAAGGAATAGATTTAATCCCATTTAATTCTAAAACTATATTTTCAAAATTAGATATTTAAATTCATATATTTACCCCTTCTTTTTTTCAATTTAGATTAATAGATTTCTTAAACTATTTATAACCCAACTAAAACTCTTTCTTAATCAATATTAATTAAATCTCAAATAACTTATTATTAATTAAGCTTACCTATATCTATATTTAAGATTATATTAATTCTAATTAAAAATATAAAGTAATTAGCTTATAAAAACATACTTTTGAATATAAAGATTTGTATACTTTGAGTAGTGAATTGTTACGGGAGCTGCCTCTAGGGTCACGTGGAAGTGGCTAGAGATCTCTCGAGGTGGTTTAGACTAGACTTCAAGTAGGAATTCAATAAGGTTGTAACTGGTTGCAATTCTCGTAACTATAGTAATGAAACTAATGATTGTTCTTGAGCACGAAGCTCTACATTGTAATGAAACCCATTCCCTTATATAGACCTTCGTTCTCTGTGCTCAGTCGGATCACAAATGATCCCTCTGATCCGATCAACTGGATCACTAATGATCCCTCTGATCCGGTTACCTAAGCGTCGGGGTCACATGACGTCTATTGTGGCAGACCATCGTAACACTATCCCCTTCCTAGCTTAGCGCTTGTCCCCAAGCGTTACTTATAGTGTTTACCCCACTTCTTGTAATAATGTAATGA